ACGGCACTCGGTTGGAGATGTTTACCCTTCACAGAAATCACTGTGTACCCAAAGGGATCCAGCAATGGGACACTGTGAATTTTCTTGTCTTTAATATCAAAAGCTGCAAGTGGGTGAGAAGAAGCGTTGGCCTGAAACTAAGTCAAGTCCAACCTGAAGGACTTTGTTTTCAAATTATAGAATCGTAGATGAATGGAGTTGGAAGGGGCCTATGAGGCCAACAAGTCTAATTCCCTGTTCAATGAAGGAATCCCAATCAAAGTGTCTTTTAAAAGTGCATCTAACGTTCTCTCTAACATTTCCAGCATTGGAGCACTCACCACCGTCTAAGGTCATCGGTTCCATTGTCATACTGCTGGAACAGTAAGGAAGTTTTACGTCTAAGGTCATTGGTTCCATTGTCATACTGCTGGAACAGTAAGGAAGTTTTTCCTGATATTCAACCGGAATCTGGCTTCCTGTTGCTTGAGCCCATTATTATGTGTCCTACACTCTGGGATGACTGAAGACAGATCCTGCCCCTCCTCTGTATCATTCTTTTAATTATTCAAGTCACTTTTTACCTCTTTCTGAAAGCCTATTCAGAAACAGGGAGACCAAAACTAGGATCTGGAATTTGGATTCAGAATTTGGAATTACCACCTTTTGGATTCAAGAATTTTAAATATTTGGAATGTCCAGATATCTGGAACTCTGTTACAGTCAATGGGAATATATATAGTCACACTCTACCCAAAGAAGAATATGTGATTCTGCTATAGCAGAATACAGACTCTCCCAATGAAAACCACACATGCACACACAGCGAGACACCAAATATATTAATTTATCTGTCTCTATAGAATAAAATCTTATTCCTGTCCATGATGTACCCCAAATTAGTCTAAATCTAATAAAATATTTCCCTGTTCATTGATAATATAGTAATCTAGGAATGTAAATATTATGTAAATCCTAAATCTTATTCCTAATTATTAGTCCTAATTCCTAAGTAAACAATATACAATGAGATGTAGAGGACTCAGAAAAGGACACTGAGAAAACTGCTGCAATGCAGGCTTGCACCAGAGTTCTCATCCCAGCTCCCTTCCCTTGGGAAACGCACGGCAACCCCAATAAGAAAACATTGCATTCTCTGCCCTCACGATCTTTAAATGCCACTTCTCAAGAAATCACGAGGTTGCCTGGGAAATAGGTTTCACTTTTACTTCTTCCTCTAGTTAGCAGAAACCTAGCCTTTGGCTCTTTAACCTATACAAGTAGATAGCACTCTGAATATTAGGAATTATCATTATAGATATTCAGAACGATCACCTCCTGATTCAGATATATTTGGAACTCTCTGGAAGCAGCATTATTCGGTGAATTCCAAATATTTTTGAATCGGAATGTGCACCGTGATTCAGACGTTCTTTTACAGTGTGCAGACCACACACCTCTAATTTTTAAAGGATTTCTATGAAGTTAGAATCAGCAATGTAGGCTATCATCTTGCAAAGGATCCCCAGTTGTGACATTCGTTTGCATATAAAGGGTGCTTAAAGCATGCTGTGACTTTCACCGTCTTGCCATCAAATGTGGTGACCCTTTTCAGGGTTAAAGGATCCCCAGCTGTGGGGAGAGCTGACATTCGTTTGCATATAAAGGGTGTTTAAACCATGCTGTGACTTTCACCGTCTCGCCATCAAATGTGGTGACCCTTTTCAGGGTTTTTCTAGACAGACAACACTCAGATAGACAACAACCATTACCCTTCTTCTAGAGGTGCCCTGGGGCCATACAGCTTGCCCACAGCTCCACAGGCTCATCAAACACCCAACCTCTGACTCTCCAACCAGATACCTAAATCCACTTACTAAAAACTACCATTGCGAATACTTCTGCATCCATGTAATGAAATGTATTCTGTTGAACTTACCGATGGTGCCTATAATTCCAATTCCTCCATGAGTATACACCAGACCTCTCCTGTTTCCAACTGGTGTTGTTGTGGGCCAATACACCCTCACAGGAACCTCATCAAAAGTCAAGTCTTTGATGATCAGCTTTGAGGTCTTCTTTGGTGGTATTCCTTTAAAAATAGCCCTCCAGATTTTATACCGATGGCAAATGCCAAGTTTCTCTAAGAGCACTGCCTAATTAAAGAAAGATATTGAGAAGAAATCAGCACAGAATACAATTGTTAATATCAGCCTTAAATCCTCCTATAGCTGAAGGGGGTAAAATCCAGAGAGATCTGTTACCTAGAGGCCAAACGATTTATAAACCACTACTCATATGAATGTGTGGGTTTGTTTGTTTTTTCGAATTGTGCTTGAATTGTAAAACAGCTGCTTTGAAAATATTGTTATAGATCTAACTTTTTGCTTCAAGTAAGAATATAACTGTGTTTTTAGTTGTGCCTGTTTTGAAGCGTCTGTGAGCTATTTTGGGTCCTTGCATGAAATGAAAGGTGGCATCGAAGATGGTTGTCCAGGAAATATCCAGGTGATCAAGTGGTGGTGGTGATGGGGAAGCCAGATTTGATGTAGAATGGGCGGCTGGTTCATCATTCAGCGATCTGTGCATCACCACAATGATGTACATGTAAACAACATATATATCATAATCGTCGTCTTAAAACTGCAAAGCTGTCAAGGAGGCACAGGGGGAAATGAACTCTCAACCTCTTCCTACGCAGCCAGATACCTCAACCACAGAGTTATCCAGAGGTTCTCACCGAGCTATCTAGCAGCTGAACAATCCCCCATTTCCAATTTTTTAGTCATGGACAAGATCTCTCAACTGTGGAATTCATGATACATCAACTCAGCAAATGGGACGGGAGAAATCCAGGTGGAATTCAAGAAGCAACCATTTCACGTTTTCTGAACGTTTTCTTCATTTTGAAGAACTTTTTTAATATAAAAAAGACTATCACAAGAGCTGTTAAAAGACTGAAAAAAATAGATGGAGGGGGGGAAGTGGCTCACAATGAAAATGGGAGCAGAGAAGAAAACATTTTGCATCACAACTTTGCCTGAAGATTTAGAGATTTATCTCAGTGGAATTAATTCTACAAGACGTCGGTTGTGAGTATCACTCATGATCTCTTATTTTTACAAAAGCTTCTGTGCAACTTTGCTTTGTTGCACACAAAAATCTACACACAAATCAGATAAACATGAGGAGAACTTACCACTCCAAAAGCCATATTGAGGATAAAATTGAACAGGCGCAGTTTTTTTCCTCGCGGAATACCTGGCGGGATATGTGTCCTTTTCATATCATAATAAATGTCATATCCTAAAATCGCCGCGAGGATGGCGATGCTTGCATATGATGCCAACGTCCACAGAATTGAAAGAAATTCCATTGTCGTCTTCTAACAGGATTGCTCGTATCCTCTCATCTCAGCGATGACTTCTAATGCTTTTTTTTCCAGCTCCATATCTTAGTATGTCGTTATCTAGCCATCTGACACCCATATAATTAGGACTTGAGCAATCGCCTAAATACATTCCAAATTATACGTTGCCTTCCCATTTGAATGATGTGTCATTTGACAAGCAAGATGAATTCTTAGAGGATAATTATGTCCCTTCCCACCCTTGTGACTAGACAGGATTATAAAGATTTGCAAATCAGTACTTCCAAATTTAAGGTCAGTAGATTTTTTTTCCCCCACTACCATCCTAAATCTTAAGAGTAAGACTAGATTAAAGAGTAGACATTTGGTCAAGATGGGCAGGGTAGAAATCTAATAAAATGAATAAAATCAAATTAAAAAGATAGTTAATCATATACTTTTGTTTACAAAGAAGGGTTCACTCTAAGTGTGAGCTGGTTCATGTTAAGCCTCTGTGGGAGGAGATTTCCGATCTCCTCCTCCTTGCAACCAGATAGTCCATCTGCATTGTGCAGCCACACCCAGGAGAATATATGTATTTTGTGTTTTTGGAGCAACAAAAACGAGAGAGACCTGTAACATCTTTGAAGCTGTCAAGTTTTATGTAGTACAGTATAAGCTTTCGGTCGCATGGAGGGCAGCCTCAATAGGGTTGAGGGTTTGGACAATGTTGAGGAGGGCAGAAGATGCAACGTATCCAAGACTGGGCTTACCAGTGGTTGGGCAGTGGGCTCTCAAGGGTTGCTGAGAGTCCCTATAGGTCAGTGGTTCTCAAACTTGGGTTCCCAGAGGTTCTTGGACTGCAGCTCCCAGAAATCTTGGCCAGCACAGCAAGTGTTGAAGGCTTCCAAAGAACATCTGGGGACCCAAGTTTAAGAACCACTGACATAGATCAGTGGTCCTCAACGTTGGGCCTCCAGATGTTATTGAACTACAACTCCCAGAAGCCTTCGCCACCACCTCTGCTGGCCAGGATTTCTGGGAGTTGAAGTCCAAGAACATCTGGAGGCCCAAGGTTGGGGACCACTGCTATAGATGACAGATAAGCATAAGAGCATGTGATACCATTGTTGGACCATTAAAAAAATCAACAAAATGGCAAGCTTTTCATGGACGAACCCCACTTCATCAGGCTGAGCACAACCTTTTAATGAGTAGTGCATGAAAATTTTAGTTTGGGGTCCAAAAAGTGACGGGACATGTCTGTCAGAAGTAACTCCAAGCCACCTGTGAATGTGGTCTCCACCATCTTTACAGCATGGATTTGAATTTTTACACCCTACTCTTAAGACCAAGAGGCTGCCAATTAGCCATGTAATTGCCCCCACACATACTGTACATGGACACACACAAACATTGGCTGGTTGAACCATGATGTTTCCTTTTGGTTGTGTGGGTGGGGAAGAAAATAACACGAAAATCTAATAGTGGTTGTTGACAGTCATTCATACTCAGTGTTGGGTCACAAGTACATTCAGGCATCCATCAGCAGACTAACGAGTGGAGAGAAAAGGTTAAGTCCTGTAAAATGGAAGCGTATGACCCACTGCTAGATGGGTTTAGAATGTATTTAAGTTCTCAAAGAATTTCTTTAATATATTTAAGTCTCGGGAGTCTTTCTTTAAGGTCTTCTTGTTATATCGTTTGAATACCATGTTATAGACATATTATTTATCAATGTTAAAGAACATATTCCACACTCCATTTTGGTTTTTTCAATTTTATTCCAAGAAAAAAAGGCTTGGGGGGGGGAAATGGGGGGAAATAGTGTAGTAACACATCCAAATCTGCATTCATGAACTGCTGTATATTTATAATTCAGTTCTTTAACAAAATTCTGGTTCAATAAGCCGGGGAATTCCCCGATATTGCTACACAATACCATGCTTGCGTTGCCATCAGGAAAAAGGATGCCAAGCTTTACATAGCAAAGGGCAGCCTGACAACACCCATGGCAGCAGTCAAGATGGTCTACAGGATCCCCTCTTGTGCTCACCCCAGTTCACAAAGTGACATCAGACAAGGGAAAATCTGAGAAGCTGTTTTCATCAATTAACTATTTTTCACCCAAACACAAAGCAAAGCTGTTTTTCAACAAGTGTTAATGGTAATGAGTAGTAGAGAGTATCCTGTGATCTTTCTTGTCTGTGTGTCCCTAATCCTTCTGGGAACAGATGAAAGGGCAGCTTTTTAAATTGGAGACAGATTTTATTTAAGGCCTCCACCCCTGCTGAGTGAGCGATTTTCTGCATGGACATTTATGGCCTCCCTGATCCCTCTCTCAAGCCATTTAAATAGGAGACAGATTTTGTTTAAGGCCTCTACCCCTGCTGAGCGAGGGATTTTCTGTATGCACATGTATGGCTTCCCTGATCCCTCTCTCAAACCACCTATCTTCTCTATCCAAAATGAGAAAGATCACTGTTAATGACCATCAACAACCCATGACAATGGGTGGAGAAGGACTGCAGAAATGGGATTATCCCTCACCTCCCAGTCCTTTGTCCTTCTAACAAGCCTATCCTTCTAACTACTCATTAAAAGGGGAAGTGAAACCAACATGGAGGATAGATCAGGGATCTCCCACCGACTCTCCTCAGACTGAAGAAGAGCTACTTGGATGAGTAGTGAAACATTTCACCCTAACAAGAAAGAAGTCCGGTTGTCAGGACTCGACTTCCAGATAAGGGTTTAGGGATGATATGAATAAGAACTTTGCAAGAAATGAGATACATTCAGAGGAGAAAATTTAAAAATACAGGCAATGGAGCAACTGGCAAAAGACAACGCTGCGAAGCTATATTGGCATAAAGTGAAATTTACAGATATTCAGAAACAACTAATCAAAGTACTGTACAGGTTAAAGAGAGGAAATCAAATGTAAGGATCAGAGGAATTTCAGAATCAACTGACTCGACAGAAAAAGTTAGCGGAAGATATTCTAAACTGGATTTTATAAAGGCTCTGGTCCTGGACTGCTAACACATGGCCAGAATTCATTGAATAGGCCCTTAAAAAGGAGTCAGAGTGTTCTCAAGGAACATATTGCTGGCATATTTAAGAATTGACCTGAGGGCATGTAATTGTTACTGTTAAGCCAGATCCCTCGCTCATTGCGTAACAGCAGTCATGCCAGTAATAAGAGACCTTCTGTAGCTTTTACTCCTCCATAGTCTTCTAGACTCATGAGTAGTGATGGGGATATTCGTCAACAAATATGAATATCACCATCGCAGTTGGATCTAATGAGGGTCTGGCCCCCGGGACCAACTCATCCACTCGCATCTCACAGCACCTCAAAGGCCCCACTCCTCCCATCAATGGCGCCAGGAGGTCAGCCGTCTTCCTGCTAGACTCATCCTCCTGCCCCCTACCTGGAGTGGCTACCTGAGCAGGGAGACAGTTGAGCTCCTGGCATCATTGGTGGGAGGAGTGGGATATTTGTGGCACCAGGATGCACGACCAGATGGGTCGGTCCCGTGGGCCAGACTCTCGTTAGATATTCGTATCCCCATCTCTACCCATGAGCACCTAACCAGTCACATGAATTGAGCATGATTAAGAGCCAGCAAACTCAGCTCCTCCTGCCTTGAACAAGACTAATGGCTGCTTTCTGGTTTCCCCCACTACTCTCTCTCTCCCATAAAAGCACATCCCTCTGCCAGCAAACAAAGACCCAAGTTAACCGCTTCTCCTCCGGTACGTAAAAGAGAGCTGGCAGCAACCGGTGCCAATATCAGAATAAAACTAAGACAGGAGGGGATGATTATGATGGTATATCAGGTGTAGGAGGAAGAGATACAAAAAGTGAAGTTGTAGCAAGGGTCCTCCTCGAAATTCGGCTGGAGGCTCAGCATCCACATCTCTTGACACACGACTCCTCCTGCAACTTCAAGTTCCATAGTAAGTGCGCCCTTAGTTGCCTCTGGCAAGGCTTCGAGTGTAATGGACTTCTCAAGGTTTGAAACCTTGTCCACTTCAAGTGCTGAAAAGGATCGTGGCGTTGTAGGGGGGAAAAAACTGCTCTGAAAATCACACCGCTTTCAAAAGTGCAGCGTGAGTTTGTCGCTTTACAAAACAACCCGCTGCTTTTCAAAACAACACACTGCGTTCCTGCTTGTCTGGGAAGAAAGTTAATGATAAGACAGCACGGCAAAAGTATCTCATTCAACGTGTGCCTGTTTTTGAGAGAAAGCATGAACCACGACGTAATGCAAACAATTAAAAACATGAGAGTGGAAGTCCAGATTTAAAAAGGTCTATTGTGCCCTAATGGACAACGCATATATTGTACGAAATGCATGTTATACAATAGTGCCATCTACTGATGTCAACATGAAACACTTTCAAGCTCAGTTTCTCAGCACCGAACTCCACCATCTGAATTGGGCCCTACAGGCAAAGGGCTATTCCAGGAATGAAATCGCAAGAGCCATCGAACCAGTTCTGACTCCTGTCCTTTGAAGATGTCGGCCCCAGAGACTGGCGAAACGTTAGGAAGAAAAACCTTACCAACACGGCCAAACAGCCTGGAAAACCCACAACAACCAACGAAAGCAATTATACAATTCCCCAATCATCCTGTCACACATCCAACTGTGTGATTGGAAGCAGACCCCAGACCTCCATCTATGGTGGAGAATTGATGAAACAGCTCCTTCCGCTTGCCTGATTACCCTGATCCGATTGATAAACCAATAGAATCCCGGCCAAAGTTTCAGAAAAAAATATATTTTTTAGATTTCCAAAGACTTCACACCATTAAAACCAGAGGCATAGCCCCTGAAGGAAGCTCAGAGCTAGCCCTACAGAGAAAAAGAGATGATTCTGTTTCAGAGACGTTCCAAGAAACGTATGGCGTGTTGAAAGTCGCTCCGCGTTTTTTGAAATTCAAACATATACCTATCTATAGGAAAGAGTATTCCATGGAACCCGGTCTCATCGTGAACCCATGTCACAGGTACGCCGTTATCCTCCAGCCGTTTCTTGTACAGCAATCCATCATCCCTGAGAACATCATACTCACAGGTAAATATGAATGCCTCAGGAAGCTGGCGGATGACATCATCTTCTCCTAAAAGCGGGGAAATCATTGGGTCAAAAACTAATTTGCACATTGTGTACAGTTTTTCCGAAAATGGAGCAGGGGCCACAGCCACGTAGTCCCTAACTTTAAACTCTTCTGGAATGTTTTCGGCGCTGATCCATTTTTTGTAGCGTACCCTTAGTTCCTCAGGAACATGTGCGTTCCTCATAACGCCGCTTACATCTTTAATTTTTTCATTAAGATACCTCAAGCCGAGTTCGACAGCGTTCTTCTTGGACATAACAGGGACGGAACGGTTTTGCTGATAGGAAGGCAAGCATAAGTCCACTCCTTGGAGAAATGGGTAAAACAGGAGCTGGGACCGAAGCCGAGGGAGATCCTTTCTAGTCACCAGAATCTGACAAACGGCTGAAGTAATTGCGCCACCACTGCTGTCCCCAGCAACGGAAACACGGTTGGGGTCCACTCCGTATTCCTTGGCGTTCTTCAGAAAGTGCGCAGTCGCTGCGATGCAGTCTTGGTACTGGGCTGGGAAGGGATGCTCAGGAGCTTGCCTGTATCTGAAAGAATGGCGAAGAACGAGATGAATGCATGGTTAAGAATATTGGGCCAAACGATCCACCATGGCTTCAAGTCTATCACCATTGATGCACAGGTTTTTTTTTACCAAAAGGCTGGCTGGCTGGCTGAGTGGTTTAGGTCTCTGGCTATAGAGCCAGAGGATGGGAATTTGATTCCCCCACTGTATGCCAATCCTGGGAGAAGAGCCAGCCTGGGTGGCCTTGGGCCAGCTGCACAGCAGTCCCAGGAATTCCTCCCCAGAAGAAGGGAAGGGGAAATCTGAGTCTTCTCTCCCTGGAAACCCCTGCAAAGGGTTGCCATGAGTCAGAATTGACTTGATAGCACACAGTTACTATTACTGTATTTTACCATAATCAATCCTACCTAGTTATGCTCCTGTACTCTTTCTTTATATTCCTCTAGCGGTTTGTGTGTGTGTGTGTGTGTGTGTTTGTGTGTGTGTGTGTGTGTGTGTGTGTGTGTGTGTGTGTGTGTGAATCCTCTCCAACTTTTAACTCAGACCTTGTAGAAAATATCCACAGTGCTAAATTTATTTGTGGGACAGTTTTCAGAACCTTGGATAGTTCCTTGAAAATTTTGAGTAAGATGAAGAGAAAATCCCCACCTGCCCTGTGATATAGCAATGTGTCCCTTACTGCCTGTATTTTTTTCTTCAATGCCTTTCCTTCCCTACTTAGAGTATAACAGACCAAGAATATTCCTTTCCCTTATCTCTCAAGGATGACAGGAAAGGACCACCCCCCCAAAAAAACCACCTTTAGAAGGAAATGCCAAGGACACAGATATGCTTCTAATTCTTAGTTTACAAATCTGTCACCAGGCATTCTTTCCTTGATGTTTCTTTGGGGGGGGTGGAAATAGGGGGCAATAAAACAACTCATGATTTCTGAACATTCTCAGTACCGAAGTCTTGGCTGTTTATGCATGACTCAACCCATCTCCTGGAAAGAGAGAGGAAAAGAGAGTCCACAGAGGTGGCGGCATTTGCCTTAAGCAAATATGCAGGTGCACATAAGGTCCTACAGCGTCTATTGTGGAAGAAAATCAAAACCCTCCCCATTTGGGGGAGGGAGCCTTAAGTTGGTCAGAGTCCCCCAAGAATTTCCAGGAATCTCCCTTTCAGAAACTTCCTATGGGGGGGAGGGGAATCAGAGCCTAATGAACATCTTAAGAGCCCCTTCCCACTGATGGAAATCTAATCATGGGTTTCTGCTTTAGACACGCTCCAGTGCTGGAGGCATACAAGAGAAAATTGGAAAGCCATCTGTCACATCTGCTTTGATTCGGTTTTCTGCATCGAGCAAGGGGTTGGACTCGATGGCCTTAGAGGTGCCTTCCAATTTCATTATTCTGTGAAGACAGGTTTAGGCTGAATATCAGGGGAAAGTTCTTAACTGTTAGAGTAGTACAACAATGGAACAATGGAACAATGGAACCCATGGCCTTGGGAAGTGGTGAGCGCTCCAACTCTGAAGGCATTGAAAGACAGCCAATCTGTGAGATCTACAGTACTTTGTATTTGGATCCCTCCATTAAGCAGGGGGTTGGACTTGATGACCTTATAGACCCCTTTCCAACTCCATTATTCTATGGCTCTGTGATTACATGAGGTTAAATGAAGAGCTACATGGGGAAAGCAGATCACTGCATTCCAAAACTGAACATCACCTCTGTATCAAAGTAAGGTATTCCATTTTCTCAGCACATATACACTTACCTGACACAGACAATCACGGTGTCACTTTTACGAGCAAGGTAGCGACAGGTCCTTTCATAGGCTTCTGGAAAACACAAGTGTTTGGGTTTGGAATCTATTAGAAGGAGACCAGAACTTATTCTTAATAGATGCCATGATCCCTTTCCAAACAGAACTTTCAGGATCGTTGGAGGTTTACCTTTGGGATTGCAAGCAATTATAGGAGGAGGTGAAAGCTGTGTTAAACACATCAGGCACAGCTTGATTAGTTAAAGATGCTGATACGATCCTCTAAAAGTGGTCCACCCCCCAAATGACTAACTGCAATCCCATGACACCAGGGGAGAAAAGACACAGCCAGCCTAGACATGCGACAATGGGCTCAAATTACAGGAAATTTTCTGAAATGTTCATCATCTTCCAATGTGATCTGAAGATGCTTCACTTATAGCAGAAGCACACTTGTGTTTTTCCCCACTTAGAAGGCTCTCTAACAAACATTTCTGGAAACATTGTGTTAAACAGAATTCTAAGCTAAAAGCAAAGCTGCAGAAATTTCTGGGCTCCTTCTAAACAACTTACGAATGCTCCCGAGCATGTAAGCTCCTCCATAAAAGTACACCAGTCCTCTTCTGCTCCCATCAGACTTTGTCTTGGGCCAGTACACCCTCACCGGCACGTCATCAAAAAGCAGATCTTTAACCATCAGCTTTGATGTCCTCCTTGGTGGCATTCCTTTTAAGACGATTCTCCAGATTTTGTATCTCTGACAAATGCTCAGCTTTTCCAGAAGTTTGCTCTGTTTTAAGAGAGAAGAATTTAGTGCCATGTCACTGTAGCCTTTAGATCCTCTGCTTGAAGCAAAATATTCTGAAGACATCCCTCTGCTGGTCTACAGAGGAGATGCACAGAGGCTGATGAATGCTACCTATGTCCTGGAGTTCAACAATATGCAGCAATAGTTTCCACTCAACTTCTGGGATATGACAGCTGAAAAGGGACTTTTGACCTAAAGTGGTTTGAATTTCCCTGAGCAGAAACTGTAGAAAAGCAGAGCATCTAACAAGGAAGGCAGATAGTTTTCCTGTCAATTCTATGTCCTGTCACATTTACAACTGCACAACCAGAGGAAGATGCAAGAATACCCACTACAGAATCACATAAACACCAGGATTTGCGCCTCGGCCGTAATCCTGACGTTTTGGGTGTTTTTCTTCTTCTTGTTGTTGTGGGTACAGCAAAATCTTTCCTGTAACCTCTAACACTCTCACGTAGAGATGGGCACGAATCAGGAAAAATCATGATTTGTAATCTGTCACAATCAGCAAATCACGAATTAAGAAATTACTATTTTTCCTGACGAATTGACAAATCAACTTGTCAATTCATTTTTTTAATTTAAAACCATATTAAATGCCTCCCCGCAGCACTGAAAGATACCATGTTCACAGGGAAGCTTCAACTGACTCTCTTCTACAACCCCTGCAAGTTTGGTGAAGTTTGTGTTTTTTATGTCCGAGTAATACACTGACAAGGAGGCTCCCCTCAGGAAAGTGCCCTTCAGCAGCTGGCTTAGGAAAAACCCAAACTTCACCAAAATTGGACAGATTGGAGAGGAGAGACAGAGGAAACGTCCCTGAAATTTTGGTATTTCTAGGTGCCTGGGAGGCTGTTTTGTCACCAAATAAATCAACAAATCAATAATGGCAAAAAAAATCATCGATTTGCATTTGTCAAGAGCATTGATTTGTACAAATATGAATTGATGAGCAAACAAATCAACTTATCAATAATGGCAAAAAAATCATCCATTTGCATTTGTCAAGAGCATTGATTTGCACAAATACGAATTGATGAAATTAGTGATTTTCTAAAACAAATTTGGTGATCTGTTTTTTAATTTATGCTTGTCTCTACTCTCACGTTTATGATAGAATTGCACCCTAACCCGGGTTGTCCAAAAAATCCAGCTGTGAATTACCCTATTTTCCCTGAACCCTGCTTTCTTTTTAATACATTGCCAGACAGGATCTGGAAGAGTAGTAGGATGATGTGATGGGAGACCACAAAACATTTTTCGAGGCTTTTTGGAAAGTATTTGGAACATTTATGCAGGAGCACAGGCTGAAAGCTGGCTCCTGCATGGGATTCTTGCTTGTGGAAAGCCCTTAGGTTAAGGCAGATAGAAATAAACAGGAACTTCAAAACATAAGGGAAGAGAGGAACTGCATTTTTTTCCTTCTTTATTTGTATCAGAGTGATGCACAATTTAAAATTATGGGCATGTATGAAATATTTGTAAAATTAAAAGCAAATGAAAATGTTAAAATTAGACTATTTTTGGGCAGAAGCAGGCTATTCCAGTAGTGTTATCTTGGCCATATGCTAAGTCCTCTTTGGTACGTGTGGTGGGGTATAAATTGCATGCACAGAAGTGCTGCCTGGATTGAATTCCTCCACAGTCACAGAACATTCATCCTGTATCCAAGTAGCACAATTTTACTTGATTATTCTTTTGACTTTGTTTTGAAGTCTATTATCTGCCTTCCAGATGGTTCAGCTTGTCCTGGTGAGAGACACTCTTCAGCATTCCTCCATCCAACAAGGTGTGTTTGTTTTCCTACACAGGTTTACCCTAGCCTCTTCTGGTTCAATATTTAGAACTTGAAATATGTGCAGGAAAAAATTCCTCCATTTTCGCCATTGTCCAGGGGGCTGGTGTCCAGGAAATGGATGGGTCTGGTGCTGCATTACCTTATTTCATTCATTCCTGCTCGCCTCTCTTGATGTACTTCTAGAAAGGTAATGTCCGCTGAATAACAGACTTTTCAATGTCAGTAGATTTCAGACAGCCAATAATAATCTTGCATAATCCATTAAGGTAAAGGTTCCCCTTGACATTTAGTCCAGTTGTGTCCACCTCTGGGGCACGGTGCTCATCCCCATTTCCAAGCCATAGAGCCAGCGTTTTGTCTGAAGACAGTTTCTGTGGTCATGTAGCCAGCGCAACTAGACATGGAACACTGTTACCTTCCCACTGAGGTGGTCCCTATTTATCGACTCGCATTTTTACATGCTTTCGAACAGCTAGGTTGGCAGGAGCTGGGACAAGCGATGGGAGCTCCCTCCGTCGCGTGGATTCGATCTTACAACTGCTGGTCTTCTGACCTTGCATCACAGAGGCTTCTGTGGTTTAACCCACAGCGCCACCCACGTCCCCCTATTCTTACCAAATTGTTTGGCATGTGCTGATTTATATGACACTAGCAAATTCTGTTGTGGAACAGCACAGGGACAAAGCTGTTAAGGAATTCTCCTATTGTTACCGAATTGTTTGGCATGTGCTGATTTATACGACACTAGCAAATTCTGTTGTGGAATAGCACAGGGACAAAGCTGTTAAGGAATTCTTGAAAGCAATGTTCAGTTTCTCCTGAATGTTTACATGCATTTTTTCAAACTGTGAAAATCTGTAGAACGTTTTATGAGCACTCCTCTTAATAAAGGTGTGCTTGTATTCAGTTTCAGCTAATATGTATGTAACATGTAATTTTTTCCAGCAGGCACTCCTCAAGTGATATATTTAATATATATATTTGATCTATTTTATTGTTAAAGTATGCGTTTTGTATGTCCTTTCCCTGAACATAAACCTTCCTGAATCCTTTTAAAAATCAGGGAGCTGTTGCGAAAATCAGGCAAATACATTTGCAGGATGGCCCTGTTTCACTTCAAGTCTTGGTTTGGAAGTGCAAAACCACTAAAAACCAATTTAACTATAAATCGAATTCATCCCACCTCCCTCATACAGCCCATCACAAACTCATTTTTGCAAAAATTTGGACTCTCTCTCTCTCTCCTCGCCACACTCTTAGGAAGGCTCAATTCATTTGGCTCTTGGAAGAAAAAGTCAAAAGTCAAAGGAACTTACCACGGTATCGACTAAACAGACAAAGAAGCCAGCTCTTTGTATCTCTAAAGAATATTTGCTTCCTCTTGAAGCCTTCCTCCTTCTAATCACATTGTAAATTACCCAGGGAAGCCGAAAACATAGAAAGGAAGCGCTCGTATATATGAGCATCCATAGGATTGGTCTGAGTTCCATGGCCTCAGCTAAGGAGAAGACGACTGGAGTCGCAATGCCTTGCGGATGTGGTGCTTCTGACTTAAAGACAGGTGTCAATAACTTCTGCCTGTCAATTATGATCAAAACAAGGTCAGCCTCCCACAGGTATTGGGTCGAAAAGGAGGCCAGGTCAAAAAAAAAAAAAAGATTGGTACATGGAACTGATGTGTTTCCCAATGGATCACCTGACTTTGGTATTGACAGTCCAAAGGAGGATGTGTTTCTCTGTAAGAACAGGATTGAGATGGTCCCGAGGGGGCTCCAGTCACTTGATGTGGTGTATGGAGTTCAAATATCTCCCGAGGCGAATAGCTCCCCCATATGAAGTGACCAGAAGTTGGTTCTGAATTGCAAACTCTTTGGAGAAACGGTGTTTAGAGGTCCTACCTCGCAGGTGCCACCTCTCATGCAGGGATAGGGGGGCTGGCACAATGGTTTGAAGGTGAGCTGATGTTGAAATGTTCAGAGAACGCACTCACAGGGAATGAGATCTGGGCCATGGCATTATGTGGAGATCACAGGTCCAAGTCTATGTGACTGGGACATAAGAGGAAGTGATCCAGAGCAGAGAGTGCTTCTTGCCTCTGTCCAGATTGTAGATACAGTGGTACCTCGCAAGACAACGACCCCGCTAAACGACAAATCCGCATAACGATGACTTTTTGCGATCACTATAACAGTCATTCCAATGGGGGGTTTCACTGGATGTTGATTAGGTCTGTGCTTCACGAACCATTTGTTTTTTCCGCTGATCATGAGCTTCGCAAAGTGGCTGCCCTGTGTTTTCCGGACCCATGCTTCGCAGGGCAGCCATTCTTACAGCTGATCGGCGCTCGCAAAATGGCTTCCCTATGGGCGATCTTCGCAGGACGACAAGGTATTTTCCCCATTGGAACGCATTAAACCGGGTTTCAGTGCATTCCAATGGGGAAAGGGTTTCGCATGACGACAATTTCACTAAAAAGCAATTTCAATGGGATGGATTATCGTCGTCATGCAGGGCACCACTGTATTCTGTTGGTGACAGGCCTATAAGGCAAAACCCAGTGAAACAAGACAAGATGAAAATGTGTGGCGCCTTAAAGACTAACTATTATACTTGAGCTTTCGTGGACAAGTCTGTTGGTGACGGGCCTATAAGGCAAAACCCAGTGAAACATGACAAGACGAAAACGTGTGGCGCCTTAAAGACTATCTATTATACTTGAGCTTTCGTGGACAAGTCCACTTCATCAGACATATGGAAACAAAATGAAATAATGGATGAAATACAGTATCAGCTTCACAAGCAGAACATTCTAATATTCATTGGCTGTAGGAGTCTTGGGTGGAGTAGAACATTCTAAATATTCATTGGCCGTAGGAGTCTTGGGTGTGTGATATATCTCACAAGCAATAATTTGTGGCCCACGTTTGGTGACAAGTAGATCATTGCCTCTGAGTATTAATTCTGGCCCCTAAGTGGGTCAATTCTTGGGTGAGAGAAATCTGACTGTTGTTAAGAGCCCATTGTTCATTAGATACACCAGGATCAAGATAAGCGTCCTTGACCTTCGTTGGATTTCATTGGCCTATCCTACACATTGTTCTGGGCTGTTTTGCACGCTATTGATTTTCTCCCTTGAATGAGCACTGACAAGCATTTCCTGGGATGTTTTGATGCTTGTTGTGTTGATGCCTTCTAGTATGATTGGACGGGTGAA